CAAATTAATGGCAACCATTGGGCTAGAGTTCTATGAGGATTACAGACGGAGAGACGGGGTCAGACTGTGCCTTGGACAAAGTCCTGGTGGAACAGCTCCATCTTGCAGGCCCTGCGGAAAGATGTCAAGTCCTGCAGGGCCCTAGTCTCTTGTGACAGAGCGTTCCACCAGATCGTGGCCACGGCCGAAAAAGCCCTGGCTCTGGTTGAGGCCAGCCTAACCTCCCTGTGGCCCAGGATCTCCAAGATGTTTTTATTTGAAGACCGTAAGGTCCTCCGTGGGACATACTAGGAGAGGCGGTCCTGTAGGTATGAGGGATGCGTTACTGCCTCCAGCTGTGGAGGTACAGCAAAGCCATTATGGCTAGTAGCCAGGGGTGGAAGAAGGGGGCAGTGGGGGTGGTCCGCCCCGGGTGTCACCACTGGGGGGGTGACAAAATGGCGGGCGGCACTCACTGTGGCGCCTGCAGTGCACCTGAGCTGGGCTTAACCTTTAAGCATAGGACATCACTTAGAGGGCTCTAGAGAGAGGTGATACAAAAAACCCAAGTTATCTATTTATTAAAAAACAACAACAAATAACTGTATGGAGTGGCCCTATTGCATATACAGCAAGGAATGGTTTTGGTACTAAGAGAGGCTGCTATATTCATCCTATGAGATTAATTGTGGAAATGAGTGTATTTATAGCACTAAGTTCTGTTGGTGAAAAGTTATAATTTCCTGCAAGTTTCTTGTCTTTGAAAGAGATTTCTGCAATTCTTGGTTTCGGTGACAAAATGCCTTGCAGAAGAGGAAAAGCTCATAAAAGGCACCCCCCTCCCTCCCAATTCCTACTGATCCCCTGCACTGTTGCAGTTCCCCATCTGTCTACCCAACCATTTGGGACAGCCTCAGTTCAACTCTCAAGAGCAGATTTGCAGGGTAGCTGCATTTGAAAATGGGATAAAAAAACCATTATATCTGGGCTTCTCTGACCCAATCCAATTTCTTTAATAGTAATAAAACATCAACCCAAGATTGGGAATTGAAATTCATTCTGAGTACAAATGCCAATGGATGAAAAGAGCATAAATGTACAAAACAACATGTGCATTTATTTTTATTTTTTATAGTGATTCATGGACTCATTCCTTTGGATGTAATATCCAGTGGCATTAAGACTGAGGTATTTCTCCTAGGTTGTCCATACAACAAGAGCTTGTAGCATGTTAATGGCCTTTGTATGGATCAGTTGGGGTGAGGCAAAGAGTAAGAAGAGGGCACTCTTTATTCATTCATTCATTTACTTATTTACAAAATTTGTATGCTGCTCTTATTTGTAAAATTCACAAGGGGGCTAATAACCACCCACAAAAATAGGAAAAGAATAAAGTAATAAAACTACTTGTTCATAAAAGCAATGCCTGAGTCTCTAGGCTCTGCTGACATAGGTAAATTTAGGTGCAGCCCTAGCTCAGCTTGTGTTACTCAGGAATAGGACTGTCCTGTGACCAAAATAAGTAGACAGAGAGTTGGGCAGGGAGCTGTGGAGGAGATAACTGGATGCTTATTTCCGGCAACCATTTTTACTTACAATGTTCTTTATTGTGGAATAGAAACATTTCGGTACAATGACAACAAATTTATTCAAGGGCATACCTACATCCTGACAAACCCAGTAGACTATTAATATAAATTTTTACACTCTTGTCAGAGTCAACTTACATATAAATCTTTGGATAAGCACAAACATGACCCGCTCTGCAGAACAAGGCTAGCCAAACATTTGGAGGCAGTGTAGCTTACCTAAAACATATAGAAGAATATTTTTCAGCACTGCAGGTAATAGTCTATATGGAACCATGTATTGTTCTGATAATGTAGTGGGATATTTTTTCACAGTATGAAATGCTGATCTCATGAGTCCATTGTTATGCTTCATCACATTTAAATATTATAGAAGCTGATGCAGACTTGGTTCTTAATATACCTAATAGTAGGTAATCATTAATACTCCTTTAAAGGGTTGCTTATGGAACTTTTTGGAATGATCATAGGTAACATCATCATCATTATTATTATTATTATTATTATTATTATTATTATTATTATTATTATACACATCTGATTGGGTTTCCCCAGTCACTCTAGGCAGCTTCTAACAGATATAAGAACATGATAGCTGAAGCATTTTTAAATAACTATCATGTTTTATAGCGTTGTATCTTATATTTCAGAACAAAGAATTATAGTCGGGGCAAGGGGAAATCTTGCTCACAAAATCAACTGGCTAAACTCTGAAGGACAAGTTGTTTAGTTTCTAACTTTATGAACTGAACTAACCATTCTTCTTCATCACCATTTATAATATGAATGAAACAGATGTATTCTGTTGAAAGACTGAAAAGAAGAGATAGAAACAATGTGGGGTAACCATACAGGAACCCAAGAAGCTACCTTATACTGAGTTAGACCATTGGCCCATGAAGCTCAGTATTGTCTACAATGACTGTGACTCTCCAGGGTCTTAAGTAGTGGGGACTCCCAGCCCAGGGATTGGACATTGGAACTTCTGCATGCAATGTAGACACCGTACTATAAAAGACCTGGAATCAGCCTACCTGAAAAACCATATTCTCCTAAACTACTGAAAACTTAAGTCCCCCTGATTTCAACTGGCCTATTTTACACATGACTAAGATTGCAATCCTAACCCAATTCAATAGGATTTATTTCTGAGCAGACATTATTTGGATTGTGCCTTTGTTGCCAAATCTACAGTGTGATTCCCACACTGTAGATATTTTTTCCAATTTCCTTTAGAAGGTTGAGAGGAAAAATGGAAAATAATTTTTCTTCCCTCAATCCCACCACCAGCCTAAAATTGATCCTGGTAAATTCAAAGCCAAAGCTAAATATGTGCAAGAAACACTCTCAAAATCATTGTCATCAAGGAAATGGGCCCAAAATACCTTATTGTTCAGTTTTACTAGCATGCTGACTTGCTGCATCCCTTCATTTCATTCCAAAGCTCAAGTGATAACATCATATATCCTTATTACCAATTCCACAATCACCATCACACAATTTCATAGCTACCTTCCCACCGTAATTTATTAGTGTTAAATTATACTACATGGAGACCATATTCATGTGATAAATTGCACATATAAAGATTCCTTTAATACAGATGCATTAATCATGCTTTCCTTATACTAATCTATCTCTGTCCATGGCTACCTTTCATTCTGAAGTTCTTGGAGACCTACTGCTTCCCAAAAACTGTAGGTGAAGAAGGCATATAATACTATTCTGTGTGGTGATGGTGGTTATGACACATCTTGGTGGTCCTGAAACCAAATACCTTAGCAAAGATCTGCTAAAACTGTGTCTGCACTTTAGAATGCTAGTAGAATTCCACATTTTAGAACATCTGCTTAAACCTGTGTGCAGAAGAATTGGCTCTCTCAATGTTTCTTGTTTCACTTTTGTCCTATTCAGGCATCTGGTTCTGAAGGCATGAAGAGAATTTCAGGAATGCATGAGACTCAATGGTATACATGGCAGCCATAACCCCAGCCAACACATGACTGGTGTTAGTCTGATGAACCACTTAGGGTGGAAGAAAAATTCCATCCAGTTTATATGGTAATGTGAACATACCTAATCTGTACTTCCCAAACCAATGAGTGAAACATTTTGATATTTACTCTTCTCCAGGTTTTCCAGTACACTTCTCCCACCAAAATATGTGTACAAAAATGTACATATTAGAGGAAAGTGCACATTTTTTAAAAAAAATCATATATTAGTAAAAGGAACACAATGAGAAATGCATTATATAAAGGATATTTGCTTGCAAAAATGTACATATTAGACAAAATTGCACACCAAAATGTACACACGTTTGGAGAAATGTGCACTAGCCTAGGTACCCAGTGTGGTACCCTCTGGATTTTGCTGTATCGATATTATGGTCTTTGGTTAGGGCACAGCCTGACTCCCTCCTTTGGCAATCTTTACAATACTCTAGTTTATGGTTGCCATCAATTTTGATTTTAATTAATTCTTATGATGTTTTATAATGTTGCACTATTTTAGTGTTGTTAGCCGCCCTGAGCCCGGCTTCGGCTGGGGAGGGCGGGATATAAATAAAATTTTTATTATTATTATTATTATTATTATTATTATTATTATTATTATTATTATGTTTTAGCGTATTTATATGTCATACAGCACCTGTATGGAAATAGTTTCATAAAGAAATAAAATGTTGATGAATTTTCATGAGGACTTAAAAATAAATAAATTACCAAATCAATGTGGGCATGTGGCAAATTGAACTTGGTGTTCAAAAAATGAGAGAAACTGGTGGATTTGTTCACCCATATGGGCCTCTTCTATATGTGTATGGGTTCCAAGACAAGTTTCTGTCCCTGTGCTGCAAATTCTATGTATGTGGAAAGTACATAGCAGTACCTATGGATACTGAATACCTGAATTGTGCTTATATTGCTTCCAGAAGTTGGGGAGGGGGGAGGCTGCAACTTCTCTGGCCTCAATTGTTGACAAAAGTCTGGATTAACAGGAAATTGTAGTTTTTCTTCTGGAGGTCTAACAGCAGCTTTAAGGGGACTTTTATGATTGTGAAAAAGGAACAGGGGAAAATAAACAAATATCTTCATTCCCAGTTAGATTGCCACTTATATTTGGAGCCTCTCTACAGTTGCATTATAGTGAAAACAAAAACATCAGGCCATCCAAGTGTGGCCCTCCTAGGTAACAGTTATCTAATAGGAACCGGAGGGGGTAATGTGGTACCCGCCAGATGTTGTTGGACTACAACTCCCATCTGCCCTGCTTGCACCAATAATGGATAGAGATGAAGGAAGTTGTAATACAAAAACATTGGGTTTGGGTGTGTGCACAATGTTGACTAACCCTATATCAAAGAGTAGAGTGCAAATGCTAGCATAAGCCTCTGCTCCTCACTTTGTTGGCTGGTTGATTAAATCTTACCTCTTACTCCTTCCGGTGCAGCAACAAGCCGGTTTTTGCATTCCTAATAGGTCCAAAAGTCCGTAAAGGATGCAGGAAAGAAAGGAGGCCTTGCATAACACTTTCACATTGCAGTCGAGGCAACTGCCAATGCTATGGCTGCTGCGCCATGAGTTTTGAGATGATTCATTGGGCTGTAAGAAACCAAGAAATATCTCATCATCATCACCGATCATCATCATTTATTATAATTCTATCCCTCATCTTTCCTTCCATTCTACTACCTCTGTTAATTTCTTTGATAACCTGAATCTTGGATTCAGAAAATATAGAAAATTTGGAACACACCACACACGTGTTATTTATTGCAAGTGTAATCTCCCAAATCCAGCTTCATTGAGACTTCCATTTAGTCAGTGGAGCTTGCATAGGAGAAAGACTCCTTGGATTGTCTCCTCTGAAAGTTAGACTTTTGAGGTACAGTCGTGACTGAAACCTTAAACTAGAAGAGTTTCGTTTAAAGCCCCCAATGGATTTGGTTCATTTAAAAAACGGCCACAAAGAAAATATATATTATTGAAATTTAGAGTATTAAAGACCAAGAAAAAAATCAAAGACATTTATCAAAGACATATTAAATTACATTTCTCTGGCTGGACTGTGCTTGTGAAGCCCCCTTAAATGCAGTGAACACACCAATTAGCAGTTCAGTGGTGGACTGGATGGTCGGGTGCTGGGGACTAGTTCCCCACCATCCTATTCCAGGCAGCAATAGGCATGATTACAGCTACCTTCAAAGGACAATCAAGGGAAAGGAACAGCACACACAGGTTCCTTATCCACCTCGAGAATGGAATATGAGAGTGCTGTGGTCCAAACACCAGGTATCTTCACATGTACCCTTCCAGATAGGATGTGCACTGGCAACCCCACACATTTACAAAGGCAATTCTGTAGGAGTCACCAAGTATCTGGAACCAAGCTTCAGATACAGTTTTGCAGAATTTTATCAGTGTCTCAAAATAGCCACTTCCTAACTTCTTGTAATATGTATCTAATTTACAGAAATCTAAAGACCACAGACATGTTTGCATATCATGCTAAGGAAAATTTAGCATGAATTCATGAGCTGCCAAAGAGGAGACGCCACTTTACACATCTCTAGTCATTTTTCTGCAGTGCTGAGCGATGCCATGATTGGGGTTAGCATGTCAGCTGAGCATGGGTTTAACTATTCCAGCCAAAAACAGTAAACAAAGAGCAAACCCTGCTTATGGCTCCTGGTTAGTCTGGAGAGAGTAAACCATGAACCTGTGCCAAGCCATGGAGTGGTGTGGGGTTGCACAGCAGTAAAACAACAGGAGAGTAGCAAAGCAATCACAATCTCCTCCCCAGGAGCCCACTTTTCAGGGACATGATGCATTCCTCCTAAGCCATGTTTTTGCTTAGTGTGATGTTCAAACCAGGTCTTTGTCATTGCTCCAATATGTTGACAGACATTTCACCAACACCTAGTCCATAAATAGATCCATTTTGGGGGAGCGGGGTTGGGGAGGGCACAGCTCCTGCTCTTATGGCACAGATAATGCCTTTCCCATTGGCTCTTAAGACCTTCTGATGTGGTCCATCTTCAGATTCCAGCCTATGAGAAGACTAAATAAATCTCCTTTAAAGCAGGTCCAGTGTTGTGGAATTCTTTGCTAAGAGCAAACCATATAGCCTCCTTCCTGCAAACCTTCCCCCAAAAGTGGCAAAACCTTTAATATTAATTTCAAAGTGGAATATAAATGTTTTAAAATAGAAAACAAAGTGGCTACAGTGGCTGTTGCGGCTACTGCTATTTCTGCTCCTATGGCTACTACCACCATCGCTGCTGCAACTATGACCGTTTGTTTGTTTGTTTGTTTGTTTGTTTGTTTGTTTGTTTGTTTGTTTTTAGAAGCTGGCGTGAGCCAGGGACCACATGGAACATAGAACTGGTGCCCATACAAAGAGTTTATCAAGACAAGATGAAGGGTGAGGAAATGACAGGGATTGATCCAGGTGTGAAAATAGGATGGGTGGCCGTGGAAGTCAACAAACTCCAAAGGTTTCTATAATCACTTCAGTGTACTAAAATGTTTTTTGATAAACTTTGTAAAACAATGAGATAAGGATTTCTGTATCTACTGCAAAAGTTCCTCTTTTTATGACATAAGCAATCTTTAATAATTAACGCATCCACCCCCATTGATGCTCTCTTTCTTTTTCTTCTTTTTTTTGAAAGGGGGGGGAATTAATCATAGGGGTTTACAAAGAGCGCTTTGGTAGCTATCAAAGGGGATAGAAGATGTTACTGCATGGCAGTCTGTAAAAACATGGTTTGCACCCCACTGTTTTAATCTTAAACCTGCTTACAGCTGTGTGAGAGTCCCTTGGAACGGCTGCTTATTCTGCAATATGGATAACTGACATCTGAAGATTGGTTCCCGGCAAGGAACGGATTCCCTGCATGCAGCTAAATTCTGCATTGTCTGTGTTGCATATTCCACCTTACCCTTTCCCTCCTTTTGTAAATGCATAAAATATCAAATGTATCTGTGGCTCAGCTGTAACCAGGCATCTTAAGTGACAGCCCAGCAGGCAGAACAGCCTGTATTTGTCAATGAAAGCTAATGGCATAAATAGAGGCTGTCCCTCTCTCACCACCTTCTTCTGTAAAGAGAACTATAAGCCGCTGATTAATATGCAGTCCTATTAATTCTAGAGGCTCAGAGGGAGAGGAGGCTGAATGGGGAAAATTAATGACCTCCTGTCTGGGGTTTGCCCCTTACCTAAAAGGTGAACTAAAAATGATACTGTGAAAGGCAACAGAATTATTCAATATTTTATGCACAAAACAGTTGTCAAGACTTTGATCAAATTTAATTTTCATTCATCTCATTTAATTTGATTTCATTGCTGGCTGGCACCAGCCCAGATGTTTGCTGTTTCTACCCTTGTTACCATTATGTGACGACTAATTGAAAAACAAACATTTTCCTGTAGATTATGCAAAACCTACAGTTTCTACAAAGGGTATGGGGATGGTGTGGTTAATTTTTAAAAAAGGAAACTTTTAAAATTCTGAATAAACACACCACACCCATTTGCACATGCCACAACCAGTGTGATCTGGATTATGACAATCTTTCAGATTACATAGACCTGTGCAAGGCGGAATTGGGAGATGTCTCATCATCTGAAAGAGGTTGTTGAGCAGTGCTGGTGTCAATGGAACATCAGCATGTGTGGAGCAAAGTGCAGAGTGTGTACCAAAGTTATTTTCACCCTTTCCTTATAAGCAGCTTCCCACAGTGAACTTCACAAAGCAGTGTTTAAACTCCTTGGAGTTTAAAGCCCAATTTGCAAGGCTAGTATAGGAGTTAGGAATACTTTTTTTAAAAAACTACCTCCCTCTTTGCTTCCTCACTCCTCTCTTTCTGCACTATGCTGTCCATGAGGTTCCTTATCTGAAGCTCTCATGGGCTTAATTCAGTACAAAACATGTTCTTCTGTCTTTTCTGTCTGAGCAGTTTTCATTTTAATATTATCCCTCCTGTTGGTTATGAGCTCAGTCTCAGCAGGAGACAATGCACTTGCCTGTTTTTTTTCTTTTCCTTACCTCTCATTTCACTCTTCTGTCAGTGCTGGGTTATTAGTACACAGGACTAGGCATATTGTTGTCATTATTATTATTATTATTAATAATAATAATAATTATTCAAAGCTTTTTGAAGTTTGTTTTACTGTTACCTCAGTGTTGGATGCATCACATAATTTACTTATTACACAAATTTCCCTCGGATCATAGGGTCTGTAATCACTTTAAATAAGTATTACATGCTTGTTCAAATTATTTATTTTTTAACCTGCACAATATATGTTCTATTTAACTATTATTTTAAAGAAATCTTGTATTTTTACTTTTGAAACACATTTCTTCATGTTATTCTACTTAGCAGTTGTATTCAGTCATAAAAGGCCACTTGGTATCAGAAAACTCATACATATTTGGCTTAATAATGCCTTTTAAGTAATCTGCCCCTTTGTTAATGGTTTTTTTTAATAAAAAAATAACACCATGCCGTACACCAGGAATCAAAATTAGCATCTAAATGAGGATGTTTTAAACGCATGCCTAGGGATTGCAGTTTTCACCTTTTTTATAGTTTGCCATGTTAAATTATGTAAAATAGAAATGGTATTTTAGTATTTAATGAGCTAATGTAGACCTATCAAGCCTTCTTTCCTTTTCATCTCTTACTTTTTTATTATAAAAAAGTACAGACTCTGTAAACTGTTTTTCAGATATAGAACATGGATATACTATGTTTGTAAAAAATGAAAAGACAACCATACCAAGCAATATAACTTTCTAAAAAGCTATGGAAGTAGTTGGCTGAAGTTTCAGCTGAAACAGAAAATTGCTTTACTATTAATCATTTACTTACAATACATTAAGAGGAGCCATTTTTCATCAAATGAGTGTTTATTACTGCTACACTGAAATTGCCTCCCCATTTAATTATGGGAAAAGATTAAAATAACAATATGTGTATAACTGTAGGGATGACAAATGAAATCTAGAAATGAGAGGTCTCCAGGCTGACAATATACAATGAAAGTGACCTGTGATATAGAACATAAAGGACTCCACCTGTATCAAAAGTCAATGGCATGAGAGAGAGACATTATATTCTGCTACCCTGGTCCTGAATACATTACTTGGAAGTACCTTCCATTGAAATCAATGGAATTCATTGCCTAGCCCTAGACCACTTGTTTAGGATGCATTTAAAAACCTGGTGGGTTATTGTTGTTTTAAATTCCTCACCATAGGAGCCAACTCCTAGGGGCTGAGGGGGCTTCAGTCCCCCCAATAAAATATTGCCCCCCAAGTTGATGGGCATTGCCATTCAAATTGTGTGTGTGTACGTCATCTGATCAATTATGCAGGACAGGGCTTACCCCCCCCCAATATTTTATTCAAGTTGGCACCCCTGTTCCTCTATTTCCATGTATTTCGCAGGTAAAGGTAAAGGTACTGCCGTACGGCCATGTTCCGACTCTCCCATCTCACTAAAGGCAGGGGCCAGCGCTGTCGGAACACTTGGTCCTGGCAGGTGACAGTGCTTGACCAGCACTCAGCGCTACAACGAAATGCCGTTACCTC